AAGGGGGAGGGGGGCAGAGAGGTCCCCTGGGGCCTGACAGCAGCCAAGGCTTAAGGGGAAGCTCTCCTGTCTTCTGGCCATGTGGGAAGTGCCAAGAAGCTCTGAGGGTGCCCACTATGCTCCCCGCCCAAAAGCTTAGAGAAAGGAACATATGCAGACATGGGTTTATTTTTCAATGTTTTTAAAAAATAAATAAAACCTTCCAAGCTCACTCAGTCCTCTTTCCCTTTTGGTGTAAGGACCCTGGGCTTTGCTTTCTGACAGCCATGAGGGTGGGAGGGCGTGCCGCCGGCCCCAGACAGGAATCCATTCTGCAAGGAAGGCGGCTGGGCAACATCTTGCCCACAGGGACTGGGTCCCTGCCCAGCTGCGAGAAGAAAGAGGAGGAGGTAGCTCAGATTCCAAACATTCTCTTTATTACGTGTTTGATCCAGAGGAGAAACTAAGTGCAGGAGTGGGGACTGGGTGGGGAGGGGCCACCTTGCCTGGGAGCCCCCTGGCCACCACCACCCCCTTTGGGAGCCAAGCCATGCCCTCCCAGCCCCTCGGAGCACCAGGGCTGTTCCATAGGGCAGGAGGGAGGGAGGGGGAAAGGAGGGGGAGCCCTTGGTTGGAGCTGAGCCCCGAAGTTGGGCTTGGGGGCAGGAGGACTGAGGTTGGCAAGGCCCCTTCCTGGGACCCAAGGGCTTTACTTGCCATGGAGCCTGGCCTGGGAGTGGGGGTGATGAGTAGGGGTGGAGTCATCATAAATCAAAAAAATAAAATAAAATAATAAAATAAAAAATAAAACCCATCACAAAAAAATGTACAACTTAGGTGAGGGTAGGGGCAGCCTCTGTGCAGGACCCCTTCCCCCAATTTCTCAAGAACAGAAACAGCAGAGAAATAAATTAAGGGATGCAGCGGCCGCCACCAGCCAAGCGCCCATAACCAGCCACTCCCACACTGGCCATGGAGGTTAGCAAGTTGGGAGTCACTTGGCCTATCTGTCCCCCCACCCAGTGGAGGGCAGAGGCTCCCGGCCCTGCTGCCCTATCCAGCCTCCTGCCAGGTGGCCTAGGAAGCTCTGGGCAGTGTCTCCTGAGAGGAGGGGCGACAGTGTCAGGAAAAAAAAGGCAAGGCCCAGAGATGAGTGGTGAGGGAAGTCACTGCTATGGAACTAGCTGGTGCCCAGATTAATGCCAATGACGGGAGCAGTGGGGAGGGAAGAGGAACGGGAGCGGGGCTGTGCTTTCAGACAAAAGGCTCTCCCAGAATGGAGAATGCCCAGCGTCCCTGTTTGAAGACTAGCAGCCCAGGCGGCCCCCTGGGAGCCCAGGGGCCCATCTGCCCTGCAGTCCCCTCCCCTCTCAGCCCTAGGGTCAGCCCCGCCTTCTATCAGGGAGGGGGTGGACAAGATGGCACAGACTTTTGAGGGAGGGGGGGACAAAAGTCCCCACAGCAGCTTGTGGAAGGAAATGCCCAGCTCTGGGGAAGGGGGGCAGAGGATACAGTATGGAGGGAGGCCAGAGCCCCGCGCCTCGCTGCCAGCCCACCCACCTCAGGGCTGTGCAGCACCCCCACCCCAGCCCCTAGCCCCCCAGGCTCCAGCCTAGGGGCCTGAGGTCAGGGGAAGGCCACCTCTGGTGGTTTGCTTGGAGGGGAAGGGGGGGAGGAGAGGGGAGAAGCCCAAAGTGGGCCTGGCGGAGGGCCTGACAGGGAACTCCACCACTCTTGCCTGAGAGTGTTCCAGCCCTGAGCCACCCTCCCGGGAAACCCCACAGATCCAGTCTCGACTGTCCCAATGGGGCAGGGAGGAAAGGTGGCCGCTGGGATTTTTTTTTTCTTTTTTCTTTTTGGTAATAAAAAATTTCTTGGTTTAGGCGAAATACTCTGTGCAACCGCAGTACCGAGGGGGAGCCCTGCCCCCCTACCCCTCCTCCCTTCCTTTACCTCCTGTGGGAGAGAGGGGGAAGGGGAATATCTGGGCAGGGGTAAACGTGGGGGGCAAGAACCATCTCCCATCCCCACAAACATGGAAGAAAAAACTGAGCAGGGCGGGGAGGGAGAAGTGCCAGCAGGGGGAGACACGCCAATCTGTCTCTGCAGTCTCGCCCAGGTGGGCTGGAGTGGTGGCCCAACAGCTAAGTCCAGCGGGCCACCTCCGTCACCCCCCACTCCTGGCAGCCTGTTAAAGCTTCAGCTCATTGGCTATTTTGGAGGCAATGTTTTTGAAGGCCATCGAGGTGCCTGATATCCGCTTAAACCGCACCCCGTTGAGAGACAGCCGTGGCAGTTTGCACACCTCCATCTCCCACTGCACGAAGTTCTCGTGGCCCGGCGTGCCGTGCATGCACAGCAGCATGTACTTCTCGTGCAGCTCGTTCTGGCAGCTGTTTGCGTCCAGCACCTTGCGGATCTCCCGCATCATCTCATTGGGCTCCATGGAGCTCGTGGTCTTCATGCTCCACGTGAAGCGAAGTGAGCGTGGCTTGGCCTCCCGGAACTCCTCCTTTTCTTTATCATTGCCTCCGCCGCCCACCACGTGAGGTCTGCGGAGAGGGCAGAGGCGGCGTCAGCGGGGGCTGAGGCATCCCACCCAATGGGGCAGCCACCCTGGCACACAGACCCTGAGACCAGACAGGAGAGCAGAGGGCGGGCAAGAGGAATGGGCAGTCCTGCTCCTCCTTGGGCCCTGGTGGGGCAGGGGTAACAGTTCCGTGCTTTCCTTTGAAGAGGGGAGGGTCAGGGAAGAAAGGGGAGCTTGTGCTCAATAGCTCTGAGCGGTTCAGACTGGACAGAGGAAGCACTGAAGCAGACAGGTGACCAGGGCTCCTCCTTTCAGAATACACTAGGATCTGAGAAGGGCCCACACCTGAGCTGGGGTGTGGAGATTCTCTGAGGAAAAAGGAGGCCTCAAGAGGGTGGCAACAGGGTTGGCAGAAGGAGAGGAGCAGGAGGTGCATAGCAAGCCCGGTGGCCCGGGGCAGGGCCGGTGCTGGCTCCAGCCCTCTCACCTGAGCGTCTCCACTCGTTCTTTGCATTCAGGTTCATTCAGGTTCCTCAAAAAACAGAGCGAGGGAGAGTTTAGTGCTGGGACCTCTCGCTCCTTCCACCGCCGCAGACCCAGGTGAGGGCAGTCCAGGGAGGTGCCACCGGACCCAAGCCCAAAGGCCACTTTCCCATCACCTGGCAGGCCAACATGGCTCTGTGGCACCTCTTACTGGCAGTGCCACTGTCCCTTTCCAACAGGGAGCCCTGTCCCTCCCCACACGCCCAGAGATGTGTGCTGGGGAGGAGCCTCTGCTCCCAGGTAGGGGAGGGTGTGGAAGTGCAGGTGCACATATGGAGCAGTCAGCACGAGGCAAGGTCGCCAACGGCCAGGGCTCCTGCTGTACTGGGTCTTCTGTGCACTGTACAGGTCCCAGAACCGTAGTCCTCTTGGAGGGAAGGGGCTGGGGGTAAACAGAGGCCTCTCTCAGGAGGCTCAAAGGGTCAAGCTCTGGAACTGCTTTCGTATGCCTGGGGATGGGTGCAGAGGAGAAGGCCCCAGACAAGCCCACCTCCCCCATTCTTTGATAGCTCCCCTGCCTGCCAGGCTGCCAGGCCAACCAATTATACAGAAGAGAGGGTGAAGGGCAGGGCAGACACCTTGGGGGTGGAGGGTGGGGTGGAAGGGAAGAGGTTCTGGCCCCGCTGAGCGGCTTCTCCAGCTCCTGGCTGGAAAACGGGTGCCCGGAGCTGGGAAATTGGGGATTGCAGAGGGCAGGGGTGTGAGGAGAGAGAGATAGAGAGCAGCAGCAGCACATGTAAAAGGAACACAAAGACATCACAGACACACAAATGCAGACAAGCGCACTGCGAGCCGGGAGCCTGGGCTGCATAAGGGAAGGAACCTGGCTGCTCTCTCCAGCCCCACCTGGCTCTTGCCCTGTGGGTGGAGGCACCCTGCAGGGCAGGCCCCCACTGGGGCCCCATGAGTCAACAGCCAGCCATGCAGTGAAGAGCTGGGTGAGGTTCGGTAGGTGGAAGGGGGAAAGCCTGAAGACCCTGTCTTGGCTGTTTTTCTGTCAGCTGGGACACAAAAGTGCCTGTCAGGTGTCCCAGCACAGGGCCTGGGCTGATAACCTTGGGAAACCAGGGCTCTCAACCTGGCCCACGGTCTTCAGCTTGGTGTTTGGCACACCCTGGCCTCCAGAGAGAATGAGGAGAGGACCAAGTGTGGTAGCAGAGCCAGGATCCTGCACAGGAAGGGAGAAGCCTGAGGGGAGCTCTCCCATTGTTTTGCCAGGGCCCTAGAACATCCCAGCTCCTGGCTCTTTGGAAGCCACAGGCCAGATCTGGAAAAAACAGCCCAGAGGGGAGGTAGCTTGGTTCATCCAGATACTGCTGGAGGCAGATATGCTGGGGTGGGGGGTGGGCCTAGTTCTGCAAGAGCTGCCAGAAGGGGGTGCTGTGCCCCACTCATGAGGCAAAGGCTCCTTGGGCCTGGAGGCAGCAGACTGAAGCCCTGGGACCCCAGTGTCCCTGTAGTATCTCTGAAGTCCTGCCATCCCATAGGATAGGGGCAAGAGTTCACAGAGCCCTGAAGTTTCAGGGACTACAGAAGGGGAAGCCAGGAGACCCAGAGTGAGATACCATCCCAGATGCACTTTTGACCTCGGCAGGGAGAACCTCTTCAGAGCGCATGCACAGACAGGGGAAAGGGCCAGAAAAGAAACCCAATGTTTGTGACCAAAGACCAAGACCCAGAGGTGAGGGGTTGGGGGGAGGGGAGGAGGGGGAGAAGACAATCTTAAAGGGAGAATTCCCTGAGAAGATCCCCCTTGTCTGGGGACAGGCCCATCATCTTCAACGCCATTTGCCCTGAGTGGGCAAATGTGGCCTCATGTGACTGCTCAGTCAGAGCAGTCTTCATCCCTTTAAGATGGCAGAGAGGGCCACACAGACGTGGTTAGCAGATGGAGGAGGGAGCAAGAGCGAGAAAAGGGGGGTTAGTGACAGAGACAGGACACAGGACACAGACACACACACAGCGGGCTCAACGCCTACCTTCTGGCAAACCTGAAAGACAGATTTCTAAAAAAACAAACAAAAAAAGACAAAATAAAAAAAGAAATAAAAAAAAACAACACAAAAACCAACAAGACGGTATGTGGATAAGCAGGTAGGGAGTGGGCTTTACAGGTTCAAGGGTCACCCTGTTTGTGGAAGAGCCGCTCAGCGAGACTAGAGTCCCAGGCGTGGGATCTGCTCCCGCCCACCCTGCAGCCCTGCATCAGCATTCCAGGGCTGGAAAGGGGCAAGGCTTTTGTCTACTCCAGCTGAGCGGGCTGAAGTGCAGGAGGAAGGGCAGGCACGCCTGCTGTCTCCAAGCCTCCTGCGGCTTCCTGAGCACTACTAAGGTGGGAGAGGAAGGGGTGGAATAGAGACAGAGTATCCAGATTGCTGGATGCACCTCAAGAATCAAAACTGTCCCTTTAGGGTGGTGGGTAGCCAGGTATGAGAAACCTCATGAAAAGAATCCCCAACCTGATTCCCACACAAGAAATCAGTGCATTAGGCTGCAAGGGAGGCCGCCGCCCTGGGCCCCCCACCAGCTGTTGCATTTATGGCCTTCATCCTGGCAAGCCTGGGCTGAAGAACATGGCTGTGGCACAGGGGAGTGGCTGCAGCCAGACTTAACCAACTGGGTTGGGGGAAAGGAGGTCAGAGAGGGCAAGACAAAAGACCAGGAAAAACTCTCCTTGCTGGCCCAGCCTGGCTCAGGCCTCATGACTTTGCAGCTGCGTCACCAAATATAAGTTTCCATGGGAACCCAGGAGAAGAGGGGGCTTTTATTTTAGCATCTGAGTTCACACTCTCCTAGAGAGGAGGCGGCATCAGCATCGGCCATCTGCTTGGGCCAGAGAATGAAGGGTGTGTATAAGGAGTTGGGGAGACCTAAGAGGGACTAGAAGGGTCTGGGCACCTCAGCTGTTGACAAAGATCCAATTTCTTAGGCTTCCAGAAGCCTCTTCTAACCCCAGGACCCAAGCCCAGTTCCAGGTATCCCCATCCCCACTCCCAGGTGGGTAGGAAGGCCTGGTCTCACACTCTGTCACCCTAATACCCCCACTTACCTTCGTACAAACTTGGAGGTGAATTTGCTGAAAATGCTCCCCGAGGCCCCCCGCCGTCCCTGGCTGTTACCAGAGGGAGAGGCTGGGGTTACACCGTAGGGCAAATTCTGCTGGTCCCGCACCTGCCGGAGCTGCCCAGCATGAAAGGTGCTTCGACTGGATACACCCCGAGGGAAATTAGTTCGGTCTGGGGCTCCACCACTGCTGCTGATGTTGTGGGCGGAGGGGGAGGCGACAGGGACACGCTGGGGGGCTGTGCTGTGGGAAAAGAGGTGGGGGTGGGGAAAATGCATCAGGAAATGAGAAAGCCATCACCACCAAGCACCTGGAGCCCTGGGGTGGGAACAGGGAAGGAAGATGCTAGGGCAGAGGCAGCCATCACAAAGGACACAGAAGGAAGGGTGTGACCACTGAGGACACTGGTAAGGAGGACATCTGGGTGAGGCAGAAGGAGATGGTTTGGGGGAGGGAGGGAGGCAAGGAGGGATACGTGTGTGGAGAGCAGTACAGGCTGGAGAGAAGTGGCTCCTTGGGAGCTAGGCAGACTGGAACCTCAAGGGGACAATGTTGACCAACCCTTAAGGATTGAGTCCCTGTGATGCTGACTGTCCCTGGGGTCCTAAGGAAGTCCAGGAAGGCTCAGAACAAAAAGGCTTCCTTCTGGAGCCTCAGGACGGCTTCTGGCATATCTGTTCTGAGGGAAGAACTGGAGGAAAAGAGGGGCATTAAGCTGTTTTTTGTTCCTTCCACTTCCTGGCTGCAGGGGACAAAGCCATTTCTTGTGGCTAAGATGACAAGAACAGAGCAGGGCCCAGGTGGGAAGAAATTGTTGGGGGCAGGGGGTGGGACAGGTGGAGGGCAGCAGGTGCACCAGCTGCCCCAGCACACTTGCCTGGGCCGCGGCACCTCACAGTTACTGTCCGTGGGGGGCAGCCCAGTGGCCTTGTTGGGGTGCACGGAGGCCGACATGGATTTCTGGTGCTGGCGGGGTCGGGCCGCAGAGACTGCGGCAGAAGCAGAAGCCGTGGAGGCCCGGGACCCTGGCATGGTTAGGCTAGGAGACAAAAGCAGCGGAGAGGCCTGGGTTAGGGGGGGT